GCGCGCACAATTTGGGTTTGAAAGTGTTGCAGCTGCAAAAAGTTTTACAACTGCACCAAAATTTATAAAGACGTGCAACTGTCAAAGCAATTTTCATGGCTGCCTGTCATACAAACAAAATTTGAACCGAAAGTTGTGCTTTATTTATGTGCACAAATGTGCATTTTAGTGATTTATGTGATCTGTGTGGAATATACGCAATATTGTGTATGAGAAATGTCAATTCTATTTATAGAGTGGCGCGCAAGTGTTTTTCATACGTACACATGTTTGTTTATTGCTACACTCTAACAAAAGACAATAAATAATTTATTATAAATGTGTTGATAAATATTTTTGGTTTGTTCCACAGTATGTATACATAACTACATGCACTTTGCAAATTTATTTGCTCTACTTCTGTCCACTACAATTTGATGCGTAGTTTGCTCCCAGTTGCTCACCGGCCGAAATAGCTCAGTTGGGAGAGCGTTAGACTGAAGATCTAAAGGTCCCCGGTTCAATCCCGGGTTTCGGCAGAACACTTTTTTTTATAATTTAAGCAAGAAAAAGTTATTTGTGAACAGCTTTCCAAATTGAAAATCTCTGTATTCATTGTGTTTCCGTGGTGTAGTGGTTATCACATCCGCCTAACACGCGGAAGGCCCCCGGTTCAATCCCGGGCGGAAACATCATCTAATCAAGACTATTTTTTGTAATCGAAAGTCTTCCACCAAAGTGTTTTATCTTTATTCGGCCCATGTGTACAAATCAATTGTTGTGAATAGTTGGTAATTAAAACATGGGATTTCTTTTGCCAATGCAAGCTTCTGCGCGTCCTCGCACAGTCCACACAGGTCATTAACATATCAAGATATTTTACTCTCTCTGCTTCGGTACATTATGGGCAACCACAGATCCTCTGAGCGAAACTGTCTGGAGCTGTTCAATGCTTGGGGCAGTGATGGCGAATCTGACGTTTTGCGGTCTGCGCTTTATTTGGGTTGTACGAAAATAAATAATGAGCAATAGTCAAGCGTCAAGCGCCAAGCGCCAATGTTTTCTATCTGTCTGGTTGTCTGTCAAGCATATAAGAACGACAAACGTTTTAATATGCTTTTATTAGCCAAGGCACTGGGAGGAATCCGCATCGGTCGTCGCCTGTCGGTCGGGGTAATTAGACTCCATTAGTGGCACTGGCAGACACTTCCTTGAAACATTTGCTAGCACACACAAACACAAGCACACAGACAGAGACGCATGTGCACAGAAATTGATGCAAAGTGCTCAGCTGTCTCCAGCTAGCTGTATTAGTATCTGTATCTGAATGTGAGTTATGGGCCCCATGTGCTAATGTTGATATGGGCTCATATGTGTGTGCTGCTGGCGGCACTTGATGCGGCGCTCATAATTTTTGAGCCATTAGACAGCTTGGTGCATAAACTCATTAAAATGTACTTGAATGTCTCAAAATATGAGACGACGCGTTGTGAAGATGGAGGATGGAAGCGATGGCCATTTGGCGTCGCATTTGCTTAATTTGTCGAGCAGTGACAAATGACAAGGAGCAGCAAAGAGTCACCACTCCCAGTCGTACCCTTCCTAAACCCACATTAGCTAACAGCAGAGCCACATAGAGACATGTGTGCAATTTGACAGTTTGATGCGCAACAAGATGGATCGGCTTACAGCGACGATGGAGTCTGAATTGGAATTGAAGTAGGAACTGGAGAGCTGCCGCCAGTTCTAGTGCACACATTACACAATTTGAGACAACTCAAGCCAACACTTGAGATTGCCGCCTTAGGGATGTGTCGACTGTTGCAGCAACATTCATGACTTTTGTTTGCGCTGCCAGCTAATGAAGATGTTGCATAGTAGCATCCATATTAGGTGTTGCAAGCCCACTTGCCACATCTCAAGTGGCTTGGCTAGTCAGTTAGGGATGGGTCAAGGTGTGGCAATAACCACATTTAAAGTGAGAGTGCAATCTTTTTTGAAACATGCCTTAAACAATGTACATAAATAAATTGTATAGGGTCCGATTAAAATATTGAGTTTAAAACAAAAAAGAACAGCTAAATTTGGCACCCCGAAGATTAAATACCCTAGAAGAACCTCTTACTTTTTGACCGATCGTGACGTTGTCGATATAGAAAATCTTTGATATAGTACTCCGATGTTGATAAGATTTGGCATATATGTATGGGGCATAGTGAAAGCAATAAATGCAAAGCTTGATAAGCATTCAAGAACCAATTGTGCCTATGACACCTAGAAGATAGGGTGGTCCGATCCGGCTGGTTCCGTTATATGACTGCAACAGTTAATCGGACCTATTTGAAATTCAGGCTAGGGTATAGAATCGTTGCTCTACTTGCCAATATTAAACTAGATCATATATACCAGGAAAGATATAAACAGCTAGTCAATGGCCAGACTGTATCTCTTTTAAAACGTAAATATTTATAACTAGGTACTTGAAATACATGTGAAAATTAAAAGGACATGCAAAAACTATAGCATGTATAAACTCATTCTGCATATCATATAAAGCCCTGTTAAGTTTACTGATTCATTGCTCACGTTTTCTAAAGTCAAGTTGGAATTTGCAGCAGCATATGAGTCACGATAATTTAGAATCTGTCGTCAAGTTCCATCAAGTAGCCCTTATCGGTCCCTATATTAATGTGGGGTCTACGCGAAAGAAACGACAGTCCCAGTTCGCATGAATCACAGCTAAATGCCGAGCACCCTATGCTATCTGACCAATCAACCTAATCCTGGCCGAAAGATATAAATGTAACCAATGGAAGGAATGTTGTGTGCATATAAATTCACATGAATTTGCTCATTTAATGTCAGTTTGGCATAGGCTACGAATCGAACGAACTTAATGAAAGTAAATAAAATGGCAATCGGTCAACCTACCCCGGATACCAATATAGAGGTGATAACCACTTCTCGACCTCAGAGCAAGTTCAACTGCTGTGTTAATCGTCAGAGACTGCACTCGATCATTACAGGTATAACATTTTAAAACAATTTCAAAAAACATATAATAAAATCTGGAAACATACGATATTTTGGAAATAACATTCCCGCAACAAGCGTCATTGCAAAAAAAATAGTAATTTTATATAATACTCGTATTTTTGCAGGAATGGTAATCTTCTCCTATGGCGGCATGGACATGGCTCAGGGCCTTGGATGGAATAGGTACACAGGCATCGCCGATACATATCAATTTGAGTTCAGTTGGTTCATTGGTGTCATCATTGGAGCTATATTGAGTGCCCTCGCTGTTGTTCATGTGCCCAAGTTATATTTCTATGTGAGTTGCAGAATTGAAGATCATGTTGAAGATTAACCGATCCCAATGGTTCTGCTCTATGTAGGCTCTGGCAATTGTGATGCAGTTGATCGATGCCATTATATGTGTGAGTGCCCCCTACAACTATGATGCAATGGTCGCAGCTCGGTATATTGGAGGCATTGGCATTGGCTTAATTACGGTTCCCTTTATTATACACAACTCGGAAGTAGCGCCAAGCGATGATCGTGGCAAGTGGTGCGCCGTAGAGCAGTCCGGCCTGGGATTGGGCATAGCTATACAGGTGATAATGGACTCAATGTGGAACCCGGCCTTATCAATCGAAAACAACCAAGTGCATGGCATCATTGGAATCGTGTTTGCTATTGTTGCCATTGCCATATTAATGCTATCAGTTGAATCGCCTATCTTCCGATTGCGCCGGAACGATTACGAAATGGCACTCACATGCCAATGGGAGCTTATGGGCAAAAACGCAACCTCAGAGGAACACAATGAAGCCCTCGAAGAAAACAAGCGCTATGTGTCGGAGGGCTCACACGAAAGCTTAGGCCATGATTTATCCGCCTCCATGATTCCTTTTATCAAAATGTTCTTCTGTCGCTGCCTTGTGGCGTTCAGCTTCTCGATGCCGCTCACCAAGACAATCATTGCGAGCACCGTTGTTTGGAAAGGCACCATGTACAGTTGGCCGATCATCGTATGGAGAATCTTGCGCTGGATCGGAACGCTCGTTGCCATATTAGTTATGGACAAGCTTGGACGCAAGCTCCTCTCAATGGTAGCTCTTGTATGCATGGCAGGCTTGATGCTGGGCATGGCCAGCATCTATTCCAACTGGCCTAACACTTTGAGCCCATACTACATGGCGCAGGTATGTCGCATTTCTATGGTGTTCCAAATGTTTGCTGGCCTCTTCGTCGCTTGTACGCCCGCTTACATGGGAGAGGCGTTCCCCATGCGAGTCAAGCCCTTCATGATTGCCCTTATTGTGTGCATTGAGCAAGTGATCCATATCATTGTGATTGTCACATTCGAACCGAATCCCTACTGCTTCTTCCAGTATTATTTGAGTGTGGGTATTATCCTGCTTATAAGTATGCTTATCCTTTTGGTGATGCTACCGGAGACGCGAAAAATGACGTTGCGACAGGCCGGCTATCGCTTCCGTCGCCCGCATGACATCTGGGCCCACTAGCGAGGAGCTGACATAGACGCAACTGTACACCAGTGAAAATTTAAAATTTTCTAAATATATCTGTACAGCTAAGTATCAAGTCTCATACATTTTCGATTATATTTAAAACTAAAAAACTAATTGTAAGTTTTCTTAAGATCACGTAGGAATAATTAAGCAACATTGCGGTTTAATTGACCGAAAACAAAAATTAAAAATAAAGAAAGCTATAAGCTACAAGCTATTCCGCTTAAAGTTAAAATTAGTGGATTTTTTCATGCTTTTATTTCTATACATAAAAACAAGCGCGCCTTGCCGTGGCACGAATAAAATGAAACACGTGCCATATGATTTTTCATATAGATCTTTGGAATTGAATTCGAGCGCGAAACGTTACGCATCAAATCTTTGACCCCCATTTCCAGCAAGGATGAATGGATTTTCAAAAAATTGGGAAACACCTCTGAAATAAATTTAAGACCGAAACAGTAAAACCTCTCAAGCTGAAAATCTGTCAATTTGTGTTCCAATTTTCAACTAATCTGATAAGTTTTTAACATTTTTGGCAAAATTCACCCATTTTAAAGGAAAATGGACTGCGATTTTGTGTATGTTTGCCCCGAAGATATGTTGCTATATTCAGTTTTCTATCATTTAATGCGCGGCATGGCTGTGGGTCATTAGGCGATAGCAAGCTGTTTGTTCGGCTGAAGGTTGTTGCGAGTACAACACTAACCATATTTTTTTGTTTTCAATTTATTTTTATTGTCAAATAGGTAAAAAGGAACAAACTTTATAGAGATGAAGGTTCGCGTATTTTCTATTCGGGCACTCCCGACAAGAGCACTTTTGTTTGCTTTGTATATGTTTTGTGATATCTATATGGATAAGGAATATTCAAAGCATTTCCATTGATTAGATTCGTTTTAACTGGTTGCTCAATTAAGACTAGGACAAGAAATGTATGGCTCAGCCCATGACAGCATGCAACGATATGCCAGCGCACGAATGAATCAGCATTCAGCAAAGGTGTCCCCCAGAAGAACACAATAACTCAAAGTTATCCATGAGTCACAAAGTTTATGCTCAAAACTTCATTTGTTCTCTTATGAATGCGTAAATAAATGCAGCTCGCAAATTTGTGACTGCCTACCAACTCTTATCAGCACTCATTTTTCATGTGGGGACTACGCTTAAGAAGGACCGGACCAAAATCGAATGAATCACGGTCGTAGCTCACCTGTTAACGATGGGTGGCCCACAGAGCAATGAACACGAAATTTGTGTGTATCTATAAATTGATTAAAATATCTATAATATCAAAAAAAAAAAAAAACAAATATATAGATAACACATTCTTTGCCATGCTAATAAACACACCCAAAAAGTTCCGATTTTAAATTAGTTTTGTTCAAACGTTTATCGGGTTTAGTTTGCTTCGCACGCGTGTTGCATAAGTGGGCAAAATGACGGTCACCTATATAGCCACGGGTCAAGCACCCCCCTTGCAGACGACCATTATAGCCACAAGTGCGGAGCAGCCCCCTCAAACCACTTACGTCGAGGTCATCGAAGATCCACGTGCCCAACGCAGCTACAACCGCTGGACAAATAAGCACAGTGCTCACTCTGCAACCGTTGGTAAGTTCAAAGGGTAAAACACTGAAGCCTAGTGAAAGATCAAAGAATGCCTATAGTTCCTGATAAGAAATAATGATATCTTTTTTGGCAATTTTTCATATTACATTATAGAAATTCTAATGTTTAATGAAAAATTGATGCGAATACAATTATTAGTTCTATTATATTTATGAACAACCATTTTCTAGAGCATTTGACTAAATAAAATAGTGTCCGTGGTTATGTAATCCGTTCAGTTTTACATAATAATAACTGTTTTTTTTTTCCATCATCTGACGAACTATTAAATTAGTTAGCACACCAACTCTGCTTTGTATGAGCACTGAACACTAAATACAACTTCTTATAGGACTTCTATTATTTACCTATGGCGGAATGGATATGGCTCAAGGTCTACAGTGGAATCTGAATACAGGCGTTACGAACACGTATGAGTTCGAATTCAGCTGGTTCATCGGGGTCATTATCGGAGCTGTCGTAGCAGCTGTGACAGTGACCCACGTTCCAAAAAAATACTTCTATGTGAGTTGCAGAACCTATATTTACAAAAAGTGGACCTCTAATGTATCACCTTTCTGTAGCTCTTGGGAGGAGTAATGCTGCTTATCGATGCGATTATCTTTGTAAGTGCGCCTTACGACTATGCGCCGATAGTGGCCGCTCGCTATGTGGGCGGAGTGGCCATGGGGCTCATCACGGTGGCCTTTATCATACACAACTCGGAGGTAACTCTAGGCAACTCACGTGGTAAATGGTGTGGCTTGGAGCAGTTTGGCTTGGCGCTGGGCATACTTATTCAGGTGCTCATGGATTCGCAGTGGAACTTCAAGTCCAATATTGGAATTAATACGGCACATGGAATCATTGGCATTATCTTTTCCGTGTTAGCCACGGGCTCCGTGGTTATGTCAGTTGAATCACCTATCTTTCACCTCCGCAACAATGATGAGGATGCAGCGCGGAGCTGTCAGACTCAGCTCCTAGGTACCATGGCGCCAACTGAGGTGTACAATGCGATCTTTGACGAAGCCAAACGCTACGTAATGGAAGGCACAAGCCAAAGTTTCGGCGCACAGTTCTCTGCCTCCCTAATGCCCTTCACCAAAATGATCTTCAGTCGCTGCCTTGTGGCGTTTACTTTCTCAGCTCCGCTCAGCCTAACCATGTTAGGGAGCACACTCATTTGGAAGGGCTCCATCTACAGCTGGCCAATGATTTTATGGAGCATTTTGCGCTTTATTGGGGTGCTCTTGACCCTTGGCGTTGTAGACAAGCTTGGACGCAAGTTCGTCTCGCTGCTGGGACTACTGTGTATGGCGGCTCTTATGCTGGCCCTGGCAGGCATCCTCTCACATGAGACATACTTTTCAAATACATACTTTATGTCGCAGGTGTCTCGCATCTCCATGGCTTTCCAGTTCTTTGCTGGCCTGTTCATCATTAGCACACCGGCATACTTGGGCGAGGCGTTTCCCATGCGGGTCAAGCCCTTCTTTATTGGACTGGTTGTCTGTCTTGAGCAAGTGATTCACATCATTGTCATTGTCACATTCGGGAAGAGCTCGGACAGCTACTTCCAATACTTTGTGGGTGTGGGCATTATACTGATAGTCAGTGTGATCATATTTGGCGTGCTGATGCCGGAAACACGCGGCCTATCGCTCCGACAGGCGGGTGCACGCTTTCGCCGAGTACATGATATGATGTCCTACTAATGTCAAATGTTTGTCTAATCTTAAGAATTTTTTTAACCAATTTGTAGACAGTATGGTGACTTGTATACTTTTAATAACCAAATAAGATAGTATATCCTAAATACTATAAATAAATAATCAACTATAAACTGCGTTAACATTTAAGTCCGATAAACGATAAACATGAATAATGAGTTTATATCGACTTATAGAAAAATACATACATTTATTAAATGATTTTTTGCCAAACAACGCATAATTGTTTATGGCAAGGAAACCTGGCAAAAATGAATCAAAGCCCTCAACTGGCTAAGGGGCCAGTAAAACCACCGAACGCATGCTGATTACAATCTATAATTAGATACTGATACCGCAGTTTTCTTAAACACATAAGTATAACAAAAATGTCAATATAAAGTCAGCTACGACGTAGCCCTTATATCAATTGAACCTTAATCTAACCAACTTACGTGCGATAAATAAGTGAACGAAATGACTATCGCCTATGTTACCTCAAAGGACCCCATAACGGCCTATATAATCACAGATCCTGCTTCTTTACCACAGCAAAGGTGATTAACACTCCGAGACTCCAGACTAATGGCCTACTAAGGACGCCTTTTCCATAAGATATTAAAGCCACAAGATTGGCGGCCTTTATCTCGACTACGCATTCGCTTATATATGTATACAAATAAAGTGTAGTAAATCCAATGCGAGCATTGGCTCGTTTTATTTTAATACTCGTTCTAAAATCAAAAATATTATGATTTTTTGCAGTGTCCGGTTGTATGTCTATAAATTCCGTATACTCTCAACTTGTGCATGCCCACAATTATATGGCTATCTATCTTCCACAGTTATTGAGATGGAGTTGCTAAATTTTGAGGATAGACAAATGATAAGCTCCTTTTAGAATTGATTCAAAAATACATGCCCTGTTTCTAGAGCGGGCATGGTGAATCGGATGAATCAGCCCGTGTTCAGCTGTTATTGGACTATGAACGGGTATTACACAGTCGGTTGCACCCGACTGCATCATTTTTATTTGTTTGCTTCGCCCATTTTACTCGCAGCTGTTTCATTTTTTTGACTTTTATTAAAATTTATGTCTTCTCGAATGTTTAAGGCTGTTAATTTTCACACAACGCAGCCAATGAAGACTATTTTTATAAGCTTGCGCGGTCGTTGCGGTTTTTTCTCTTTCTTTTTTTACTCTATTGTAAACTAATTTATGCCTCCGCTGGATGTGCGAGCGGGATAAACTTCCTTTATCTTGTGAATTATGTGGCATTATTTTCTACTCGTAGAGCTTTATAGTTCGTTTAGCGGCAATATCGGCTCAGGCCAACTTGCACTAATTTTGACACATTTTTGCCTTTCTGTGAAGTTTGTTTTGTAATAATTTTAATCTGCTGCTCACATTTTATGTGTTAACTTCACATAAATAGATCTACTACTTAGTTTCTGTGCCCTTCTATGGAGCGTAATGCTTGGCTAGGAACCGCAAAAACAATTCAAATTTGACAGCAATTCAGTGTAAAATTAACCTTACATGCATAACAGAATATCAATAGTCTAGACTCTATTTAAACTAGGATAAGTCCGGCCGGATTTAACCAATATTTCATATGGCTGCTTCAAAAATCATGTTTTTTGTCCTTAACGTAGCTCTCTCTCCCCCTCTGTCTCTTTCTACAACCTGAACACTCTAAGTATAGTGGGTATAGTCTCCTGCAGGTAACTATTACTTCCTGCCAGTTACAAGTTAAGTTTAACAGGCACACATTGAATACAAGTTGAATAAAATGCGCACATTTCAAGAGGTTGCCTGATTGCGATTGCTAGTCTGTGGACAAAGGGGGCTTCGAGACAAATGCCTCATGAGCAACAATAAGACGCATTACATGAATCACAATTGAAATTATTGTGATTGGTCGTAAGACAGATGCTGCTCTCTACCAAGAAAGCAGCCCATTACCTTGCGCAGAAATGCGCATAAAATATCTTCAAGATACAAACCTAATGAAGGAATGGCAATAAAGCACAATTGCAGCCAGCCACTGGCCGGTCACTAGCATTTGCCAAACGCCTCAACATGGCTGAGAAAAGTATTCAATGCCCTTAAATGGTCCACACACAGGCAAGATGCTGGCCAAGATAGTGGGAAATATGCTGGCGAATTGAATTGAATCGACAAGCTGAAAAATGCGTGCAAAAATGTTGCTTAGCCCGATGTTTTTCAGCTTTCCCAGCATTTCCCAAGCCCCAAGTAAATTAAATGCAGGTTCGTGATTTTGCACCTTAATTAATATCATCGCCAATTGACGTCTCTACGTGGTGACAGGTCAACCCCCAAAGTGGCGATGTCATGTGTCATCGCATGCCGCTTCCTGCCTGCCTCGGATGGGTGTAATTGCTCGACGCATAAAGTTCAGTGAATTGAAAGGAATCGTGCGACTCTGTGAAGGATACTGCATTAAATTGACCAAATGTGCGACCACACGGAATAGAATTAAATTGCATACAGCTGCAGTCAACTACATGAAAAAATTCAAACATACAATATTCTTAAGAATATTTCCATGATGAAAAGCCCTTAAAGGCTTTAAAAATGCAAAGAGGTTCCATTCACTTAAATATAAGCATATAAAATTTAATAAAACTTACTTGATGTTACGCTTTATGAATTTTGTGCTCTTGAAATTCGCAAATCTGAAAGATTAAAACAAATAGAACAAAATTTCTTTTAATTTTTAAAACCATTTTGATATTACAATTATCGGAAGCAGCGTGTAATGTTTATAAGATTCGAGAACTTAACCCTGCTTTGCAAATGTGTACGAACCTTTAAACCTTTAAAGAGCTTTCTATAAATATAACAATCAACAGAATCCTATAGCGAGCTGGTATTTTACGGCAATTCGGGTCTAAAGTACAACACATTTGAACTTTGGCTTACTTCGCACCTACTGACACATTTTGCACCTGCTTCAAACGAATTGTAAAAAGCGCGCAATGTGAGCCTTGAATGATTGATAGTTGTACTGAATGACGGAGCGAACGACTAAGTGAGTAAGTGACGAAGTCGGTAAAATGTCGACAGAGTCCATGACCCAACACACAGGCGCTTTCCACTGGCTACAACATCTCCATCTGTCAGCTGTCAGTTTCGCACGCTGGCAGGCTCTGAACTTGGTATTTTAATTGAGTTTCGAGTTCACAAAACTCGTGTAGTTGTAACTGCGAACTAAGATTTATGCGATTTTCTTGCGCCACTTGCCTGGCGTTCAACCAAGTAATAAAACGCGCCTTAGGCCTTTAACCAGTCGAACCATTATGCACTTTCGCAAAGAGTCTTTACACTTAGAAACACAGTTTGCATGAAAGATTATTTATTGAAATACCAATCAAGTTAAAAACATTAATAACATTAGCCAAATGTTAAGTTATGCTCGTAAATTCTAGATCAAAATGTCAATGTGAAAATCAAAAAAAATATTCAATTCGATACAAATCAAAAATATAAACATATATGGGTTATGGGTTCGAAAATATCTGCTTCTATGCTTTACACATCCGTTGTTAATCGAATAAAGCATCAACTGCTTGTATACTAAATACTTTATAGAAAGTAATGAAAGAGTATGTAAGTATCGGCGTCAAAAATGCAATTTTCACTTTCTGGTTAAGGTGCAAGCTCGTTTAGCTTTTATTGAACAAACAGCAGAAGTAGCAGCTGCCGCGTTGAATTGTTTTTATGGCTTTGCTGCAACGCTGCGTATGCGCAATGTCTGCCCCGACTCGCCTTTAGCCTAGTTAGTTTGTTTTTCCGCTGTTAGTTTCTGTTATCATTAACACCTTTTGTTGTTGCTAATACTTGTTGTGTTCATTCGACATGCAAATTGGAAAAGCGGGGCTAAGAAATTTCGACTACGAAACAAGTTCGAGCGTGTCTAGCCAACCTTGTCCTTCGCGCGAATTAATCCAACCGAATGAAATCTGAAACAAGTGTCTCTCTGCCTTACTGATAAGACACGCGCATTGCGTATACGCAGCGTCTGCCTATGCAAACAAACAAATAAACGAACATAAATAACTTAAAGTGAGCTATAGAAAAGTGAGTGGCTCGCTCGTCGGCTTGTTTGTTTCTCGATGGCTCGACAAACACACAGACAAGCATGTAAATAAACATTTAAAGCGCAAACAGAGAGCGAATAACAATATATATATACATATATATGAACTGTTTTGATTGCAGGTAAATACCCAATGTGAAGACAGAAGACAACAGCATTGAGACGGGTTGCTGCAGCTTCTCATTATTGATAGCTGTCCATTTATCATGCCGACTATTTTATCTATATTTCACCCACCCTTGCCCAAACACCTGATAAGCGTTCCAAAAGTCAACGATCTTGAGCTTGGTGTCGCATTGCCCACTTTTTCAGCTGTTACTTGAACGTTATGGGATTGCTCACAGCACTATTTATAGAATAGCATGACTTTGGAACAGGTAGTTGCATGATTTCATACACCCAAATGAGCAATGCAAACAAATAAGCAAATGGAATGGCAAAAATGCTATACTTAACGCTTCACCGGACAAATGGGAGGGATGTTAAACTATAGAGAATGCATAAACAGGCATGGGAATCAAATGGCTAAAGTTACGCCCCACTGGGGCGTAACAGCTCACGATTGGCATGAGAAAGCAGAAAAATAATGCTAACATACTTTACTGCATCTACTAAGTGTACAAGTTACAAGTTCACAATATAAATATATATTTTATATTGACAAATAAATATAGTACAACTTAACATCTTTTCATAACCTTATGACAAATGGAAATCTATCTATCCGCAAAATGAAATGTGTATAATATTTCTAGTTAAATAAGATACCCTAGACTAAATATAATATAATTACAAATATGTATGCATATTTTGCATTTTTCTACTTGATTTGCGTCTGGCAATGTGAATAAGTTGTTTTTTACATAGTAAAACATTCGCTGTCACTTACATAAATTTACTCAGATGTAAAACACCCCGTTTATATGACTACAAGAGGAGTAAGAGACCATTGAGTTAATGCCACATCTGCGCATAAATTACAATCAACAGGGCAATTCCAATACAATTGCAATAAGTTATTAATTGATTTTGTTCACTGGGACACAATAAGGCACAAAGTTAAATTAATTACTCAATACTCACAATTCAATGAACATTGGAAAAATCAGTGAAATTTTTTATACCCCTACTATTGTACTTGGCATGTTCGTGAGCAGTTGCCGGCCTTTTGTGAAAGACCTGTCCCTTGTTGGTAATGTGTAGCATGACATAGGATAATGTCATTGACTCGGTTACCTTTTGTGCTTTTGACTTTGACAAAATGCTGGTTCAATAATAAGTAGAACATGTACAAAGACAAAACAGTTTCTGGGTCTGTAAATGATATATCTGATTCGATTTATCACAGCCATTCGAAGACTTTGGTCTCTGGATAAGCAATTATTCTAAGCGCACATTCTATTACTATTCTGATATTTGTGAAAACCTAAAGGAATTCGTTCTATCAGGCAGATAATAGCGGCAGTTATAAAGCATAAATGAGTCAAAGTATAATGGGTCCTAATGTTCATAGGCTTCTTATATTATTCCATAGGTCATTGTGCTTTTATACTTCAGACGAATTCGTTGATTGAACTTTTCTAGGACTTATTTCCTGAATATATAATTTTACTAGATTATAATGGTACGTGCTATTTTATCAATTGAAGCATAATATCAGTAACCGGCTCAAGCTTATGCTTCGAATTTTATAAATTTTTCGCCCATTTCTCGCTCGTCCAATATTTAAATTTACCCGTTCTGATTTGAGCTCCAAGTCTAAAGTAATATTTTCAATAGAAACCTAAGAATGAGTTTGATATCTAATAACTCAAGAGTTGGATTCGACTTTTCCGCTGTTAACCTAAAAATAACTTTCGACTCTACCTCTGATCCTCAATGAATGATATTTACGAAACAACGGTGTTTATTTAATAAGGCGATCGCATGATTTTCCTCCATTGATTCCATTTTCAAAATTGCTCAAATTAGTATTAATTATGTTCTTAAGTATGCATATGCTTAAAGCCCAAAAAGAAGAAAATTAAAACTTCGCACACCACATTACTCCTAAGGATGGAAAAGTATAAAATAGTCCGGATGGTAAGTTTTCCACTCTAATAGATAGAATATTCCACAACCCTGTCGTGCATCTTCACCACCTTATAAGGTAACTACAGTCAAAATTACGGGCAGGTGTTGATCGCCAGTCAGTCAAACAGTTTTAACAAGTAAGAGGTTCTAGTCGGGAGCTCCCGACTAGGGGATACCCTGAACCCTCTTCTTTCAACATCAAATGGATATATATATTCTATTTTAGAAGCAACATATCCTGTTTCGTGACTCTACCTCTTATTATTTACCAAAATTGCCCAAAAAACAGGATATCGATATCGAATTTTATCGATTGCTTGAAAATGGAGTAAGTTATCGATTATCGGTAATAAACTCGATCTGCGCAGGCACTAGGAGCACCTACACCTAAAATTTCAAGTCTATAGCTCTTATATGCTATGAGATCCTTGCGTTCATACATACGGACGGCCGGACGGAGGGACAGACAGACGGACGGACGGACAGACGGGCGGACGGACAGACGGACATGACTAGATCGACTCGGCTATTGATGCTGATCAAGAATATATATACTATACGGGGTCGGAGATGCTTTCTTCTGCCTGTTACATACATTTGGATTTTGCACAAATACAATACACCCTTATACCCATTTGTAATGGGTTCAGGGTATAAAAATAGATACATAGAGATAGATTGTATTTTATACTTTTATACATCTGCTTTAACTTATAAACACTTTTTACTAATTAAGTTTTCTAAATAAACCGAAATCTGAATCATTCTTTTCTGGCTCAGCCAAGCAAGCATAAAGAAACTATAATATTTTAATTTTCAAACAACATGAATTAAATTCTATTAGCAAGCAATTAACAATAGAAAACTCATGTGGTTTTTCGTGAATACCACCGAAACGTACATTAGCAAAAAAAAAAAAACATGGAAAATACTTAAAATGTGCATTCAACTTCCGCAAGAAATTCAGTCAGAACATTTATAGTTATTATTTATTTTTTTGTGTGTTTTGGGCAAAACCAAATGAAAAATGTGCAAACTTGGCGCGAATCGCATGTGTTGAAAAGCAGCGCCAATTTTTCGAATGTATCTGTATACAATATCTGTATCTTTCTCTATATATATATATAAATACGTGTGCATGTTGATTTTGTTAAATGAACTCAAGATTGCGGGCGCCATGATTAATGATTCCAAATATATTGCGCTACATTGAACAGAAAACCCAAAGCGTGCCGGTTGAAAGATCCATTGAAGAAGCTCACCTCACCAATGTTAATTGAAAATATATCTGGGAATTTTATGAAGCGACTTTTGACAGCAACACTTTGTCAGTACAAAATTATTACTCTACAGCTTGAAGTCATTTCTTTTTTGTTTATTTAGATTTTCACATTAAAAGTGGCAGCAATGAACGAAATATTTTAAATTTGACTGTTTATTATTAATCAAAATTTATTTGTTGCCATTTTAAAGAGTTTGGAGCTTTACTCATATTATTTACAACAGAGCTAATTTTGAGAAACAGGATTTATTTATTTAGCAGGCAACGAAAAGTAAGCTTAACCTTTTTTTGTTGAAAACAAAAAGGTATTAACGCTCTTACAAATCTATCGAAGCAAAACAAACTGGAGGTAAATATTTATAACAAGGCTACAAACCGGATTGAGATGCCCATTAAAAAGTTTAAAAAATGCTGCATTATTAGCAAATTTCACACACATACTTGATATCTCAATTTAACATAACAACAAAAGCAAATGTCTATTTGTAACAAATTAAATAATTTCAACAATTTATGCATATATTGTTTACGAACCGAAACATTTTTGGCTTACAGCCAAATAAATATATAAGAATCCCTTATATTTATACGAAAATGTTGTAATTAATGTTTTTGTACAATTCTCTGTCACTAGCTACTGGTTACTTAGACGAATTGCTTTAGGCAGTCTTTTCTTGTTCAGATATAACATAATTTTTTGTTTACAAGCCGCATTCGCTTTTCATTGCCCGTTGCATCCTGGCCAGGTCGGGTCGGACTGGGTCTGGCTTGCTTTGGTTTGCTCTCATTTTGCCTTTTTCACGCTTATTATGTGTTTTGTAAGTTTTTTCTTTTTTAGTTTAAATGCTGTCAGACAGGATTTTCCACTTTACTGCAGTCGGCGTCGACACTGCTGCGACGCTCGCTGCTGCAGCTTTGGCGCGTTGTTATTTATTTTTTTTTTTTTCAACTCATCATGCAGCAGGAATCCGCATCCGAAACCTCATATTGCTCATATTGGATTCAGTGCAGACAGTGCACCCCATTCTATTTGTTGGCTTGTTTTGCCCGCAATCCGCTGCAGCTGGCGTGGTCATTCAGGTTAATGCCGCCTTTATTCATAGTTCTAAGCGCATTATGCGGGCTGTTTTGCTCAAAATATTAGCAAAATTATGTTAATCCCTCCCCTCCGAGAAGAACGTTGAACAAGTAATCTACCCTGCCCCGGCTAATGCGCCAGCGCAGGCCCATTATGAAGCGCACCTCATTACCGATACGAGTTGAATTATTTTAATAGCCACTGCAATTACGTGCGTTCACGTATATACATACGTATGTATATTTATATATGTATGTATGCATATAATTACCAACCCCACCTTTCGCGGGACTCTATTGTCGCTATTGCGCGGAGCAGATTCTTCTTTATGGCAGCTCTTTAAACTCGCCTTGCGGCTAGCCAAGCACTGGGCTGGCCAGAGAAATTGCATGCTAAGTTCTAAAATGCCCCACAATTTGTTGCTGAGCACGCGTCAATGGCACTGTGGCCATAATTTCTGTAATCGTTTCCAACGCTTCATAAAAAGTATAACAATAATTTTAATCCTATTAACATTTCCTAACTATATAATCGGCATTTAGTATACATACGTACATAAGCTATCTTTAAGAACTGTGTAAGCCAGCTTATATAGAATTCCAACAAAACAATCAAGTATATATGACTTTTTGAAGAGATCTATTTAAAAATAAGTGTGAAGCCTATCGGACAAAACTTCAAACTGCCTGTAAGATAAATTCCATTATGCCCCTATGCGCCGGACTTCGCGAAAAGTGTGAATCCTAAGTAAATGCGCTTATACCTGAAATGTTGCCACTTAAAACTTTAAGAAGAATTCCATGCAGTTGACTTTTTCGCAAAGATATTGGAAAATAAGTTTAGAGCAGATCTGATGGCAAGTTACATACAAACGCTTAAAGCTTTTTATGCACACTTTCTAGTGGAAAACCCACATTTACCTTATATGGGCTTCAGTTCTAACGGGTTGGGATGTCAGCTGCGGACATATGCAAGGCACATTCTACAAAGTATTAGGAATCAAAATTTATATGATTCATATGTATAACAATTTTGGATTCATTCGATAGTAGCATATAAACCATATGTGTTTATACTTTTTGCTTAAAATAATGATTGAACAGCAATCTTAAATAATAAGCAAAGCGGAAAAAGAAACAGAAAAACATTATATAGCAAGAAAATAACATTTAAATATTAAACGCGTGTTTGGCAAGCCGCCCGCCCGCCGTCGGCCGCATACCCGTCTAGTTTGTGTCCCAAAATAGACTCGAATATATTTTTATTAAAATATTCAACAATAACAAACTGGCCGACAGCCTTATCAATTGGCTCAACAAATGAAAAAAAAAGAAGAAAACAAAAACTTAAATTGATTTCAAACTAATTAGTGGCTGTCAAGTCATTCAGCTAAAGAGTATTAATACAGACATATGTATGTTAATTGAGACTTGTTATTAAAATACATAACAAGCTGCTGGTGCCATTAAATATTCATTCACAAAGTGTCACACAATATGCAACCGGTTAAAGTCGCGCTTAAAACGCTCGCCTCCCCATTAAACGGCGCCCAAAACGCGTGTATCGTTGCCATCGCATGTGGCGCTTTTATAGCTGTTTTCAACTGTGTTTCCATATGAGCATTAGCTATTGTTGCTAATGAGTCGAGCTAGTTGGTATTGGACTGGAGCTTGGCTGGACAAGTGGAGCCGGTTAATAGGAAATGCAAATGTGAGCCAGCTGCAAAGACAACGGCCGGCGCTTAGCGGGCTTGTTGGCCAATTAGCTGTTGTTTAGTGCGTGTGGCACCAGTTCTGGAGACAATTTGATTGATTGCCCATCCCAATCGGGTTGCACAAAGCTGTCATTCGTTCGATCATTCATTCGTTAGCTGAAGCTGTTGCCAAGGGTCTGGTTGCGGCAAGAGTTTGGTACAGAACGCCCCTACTAGATGCTGGCCAAATTCTCTGTTTTGGGCAGGCCAAGCAAAACCAGTTTCAAAGTTTGCAGGCACGCCTCGTCTGTCGTCTGTAATAAGCTCCAGCCGAAAAAGGCTTGGAGAAATTTTTGCAGTCAAAACAATTAAGACCGCCTCGCGGGGCTCTTACAACTTGTTGCCGCCTCAACGGACCACCGACTTGCCGGAAAAACTGTTGTCGGGCTCTCTCAGGTCGGACCCGACTCTAGCTCGGTCTCTAACTTTCCAACTTTGGTTGGGTTACTTGCAGCGTGAAAAGTAAAAAGTGTGTAATTAAATGCGTTGCTGTTTGCCCCACGGGACAAGCCAAAACAAAGTAATGAAAATGCACAACGAAGAACTAGGCAAAGTTTTAATGCTCTTTAGAATTTTCAGAATAATGAATACCCAAACACTTAAATATGTATATTTAGTTAAGAAATAGATTTGCACTGCACTAACAAAAAAATGCGAATCACAATAAAATAAAAGAGCTTTAGCTTTAACTGGTTAAACTAAAAAATCATGAGTCCTTTGTTCCCTATATTATCTTCCAAATCGTATTACATGCGTTGCCAACTGCATTGCTATGTCGATGGACCCAACCCAACGCAATTAACATAAACTGCGTACGCGATGCGGCTCATTGACTTTTAAAGGGTTTTCTATAGTTCGGGTTCGCATTTGGGACAGCTGCCCGTCAATCATTCGCACAAATGAACTCTGACATTTCCGTGGAGGAGGCACGGCACAAAAGTTGAGGCATTGCCGCCAAATTTTTTGTTTTTAAATGTGCTTTTTACCCGTGTGACGCACCTGTCGCAATGACGCACAGTTTGGCTGAACTGCTCCGGACGACATACGGCATGGGCGCGATAAACATCGTCATAACAACAAAAGATTAACACGCCGGGAAAGCCAAGCCCCCAGATGAACAGGTCAGATTAGAGACGCATGCGACCGATGCAACAAAAATGGCCACACACAAACAGAAGCAATAAAAGAGAGCGACGCCAGGTACGTAAATGCACATGGTAGGTAGACATGCTGGCGGTTTGTGTTGATCTTGCCACAAGGATGCAAGTTGCCGGCAACGAATCAGATATCTTTGAGATCAAGTTACAGCCACACGGAAGACACCCTAGTGTCATTCTGCGATTTCAAATATGCTTAATTCTTAGGGTTAATATACGCACCTTTTGTCTGACAGGTGTGCTGGCCTTGCTGTTGTATATAGGTATTTGTTTGTCTTAAGTAATTATTGTAGTCACTGGCTAAAATTCACTTTCATTTTCTGCTTTTTAGGTTTATTTTCGTAAGCCTGAAATTTTAATGGAAATAATAAACTCAATTAACCCGGCGAATGGAGTAATAAAAGAGCACGATCGTCTTTCCAACGATGGCCATAAATCATTTAATCAATGAATGTCCATATAAATAAAAAAGCCGCCCATTATGCGAGCTGTTGTTGGGCACGTCAAGGGGCAGTCGCAGTGAAGGCCAAACAAATGCTTAAAATCCCAAACCGTTGAGAATTCCACCTCCACTTCCAAGCCCACTGCTCATCCGTGTTGCCGGTCGCCCACACGCCGCGCACGCCGCTTAGCTGATCGGGCGAGCGCCAATGCACTTTACGTTATTAATAACAAGCTCGTATACATATTTACACACACATATGCGTGATATTTGAAAAGCCCGCGGCAATTGTGAATGCATTTATTGTGATGCCACAAACAAGCGCATTGACAACTGACAGCATGGGCGCAACGACGGGCACATTGCTAAACGTTTTGCAAACTAATCACTTGTTACTTCTTAGTTTTTGGTGCAATTTTTGCAACCTCACATAGCACACGTACTTTTTGAATATTATTGTAGTTTTATGGTCGCGACAAGAAAACGTATTTTTTTCTAAGCGTGCTCATTGCCTCGAGGCCGTCCGCGTCACAACCGCAACGTTCGGTGTTTTGCTTGCGACTGCCCGCTCTGAAAGTACGATTGCCGATGTATTTGATTTTTGCGCGGGAAGTATCGATATACCTTTGTGTTCGATAAATTCTCTCTAATACCCCTTACATTATGTTAAGCGGCACTGTTAATTCTTAAAACTAAGGACATCAGTAGAATTGCTAAAAGTTTTTTTTCGATTTATACCTACTATACTATACTATAATCTTGGAAATTTTCAATTTATTTTATAACTGCAACTCATGAATTTATATGAAAATTTTCGAAATTTAAATTTTTATAATAAAAATTAAAAATAAAAAGCGAAACACTTAGAAACGAATATATGCCGGCCTTGACCGTTATATTGTAAAGAAAATAGGTTAATTTTCGATCTTTCATGCCTATGCTAGCTTCATGCTACAAAAGGTCTTGAATCCAATGGAGAATATAAACTGATTCTGAAGTCGCAGAAGTATTCAAGATAAAATGACCACTAAAAAAACCAAAACTTTGGTGCAGGTTAATGTTCGACTGTTTCTTTAAGCCAAACCAACATCTTACTAATATTTAACAAGGTACAGTCGTGTTTTGTTTAAGTTTTAGCAGAGATACGGTATAACATTTTATGATAAAACCAAAGTAATGTATGAATACTCTTTCAATATCTTAAAACAACAAAGAATATATATATTTTTTTACATTTCAATTTGTTATATTCTGCCCAGGAATCGATCTGATCTCTATCAATCGAGACTGAAAGATATTGTGTAGCTTATAGGGGTTTATAATTTCTATATTAAATGACGAGGTCAAGTAAAAACATCAACAAGCATTGATTTCCAGTGTTATGGTTTATTAATTTTCAAAAAATATTCCATTTACTTATTTGATTTTAAAACTAGAAAGGTGTGATCTATTGTTAGTTTTACAAACATTAGCAAAGAGAACACATTTATTTCGAATTATTTTGAGTTCTTCCATTGGTTTTGCTTGGTTCTCTGCGCTAGGTTCAGTGTGTAATAAGTATATACTAGTTATACATATACGTTTGCATATAAGCAAACCTCATGCAAAAGATTTACACTGTAGTTTGGACTCGAGTTTCTAATCAACACTTGGACAAAATCAAACAAATACACAAAGGCATATGGCAACTGTTCTCTGGCATTATTGTATATAATATTCATACGTACACATTAGTATATACAGCATGTGCCTAAGGAAGTCGCCATAGGCAACATGAATTAAGACAAGTGTTAAGTTTTCAAATTATTTGGTTTATGTAAAAAAAACGTAAAATGAAAAATAAACTAAAAACAGTTGCTTAATCGAATGTATCGAACATACCAAGAGGAAAGATAGAGGAAGATCTTAAGGACCGGACACTATCCAGCGTTGGGCGCAAGACAACGTTGGATGATCCGTGAAATTCCATTGATATGGTCGAAAAGGCCACGAAATGTGGTGAGTTAATGTTATCCGAAAGGTAGCAAAATGCGAATTTCAATTCCTAATCCGATGTGAAACAAATGCGGAAGTGTAGCACGAAGGGATGCGTTTCCAAAATCCTTGCATATCCTGTCCATGTGCACATGTCATGTTCGTTATCCACATCATATTTCAAGTTATGTCATACCCAAAAAATTACTTTATTCCGAATTTAAAACACAAACCCAAAGGTATGTAACGAATCTCTTAACTGGGGTTCCAAATAGTAAGTTAGCAAAAGAGGTTAGAGGCTGTTCTCCATGGTTTAAGCTCGTGTCGTGGGGAAACTGCATCCCACGTTGTCCTAGAGTTATAATCTTCTTTCGCGAAGGTGAAAGAAAATTCCTAATATCCAAATCCTTTTATGAATCCTAATATCCAAATCCTTTTATGATTCCTAATATCCAAATCCTTTTTGTTTCCTGATATCATTTTTTAAACAACACGCTCTCCAAATTGCCTGCCTCCTCTAATTTACTCCAAATTCATCATTATCCTTTCCACTTTCCACTTCAAACTTCACTCCACCATCAACATCAAAATTATCCTTCCTCCTCATCCTCATCCTTATCCTTCCTCCTCCAATAATCCTCATTATACTCCAAACATAAACGCGCAAAATGGGGAAGAGAAGAAAATAAAATGAAATATTAATAATATGTAAATGTACTCCATAAACATGGTTGTGTTTTGATTTTGTTTATATATTATTTATTCTGAATAGTAGTGGGTTCTCCTTATTGTTTGTTGTTTGGTAATAAGATAAATTCTAATAAATTTTGCTTTATGAATGCAACCAAATTTTAAAACAAGGAATGTGTGAAAAAGAGACTTTCCTTGAATTATAATTATCGTTAAAACTTAATTTGTCAAATGTATATTTGTATGCATTAAATAATTTAAAAGAATTTTTCTGTTCTGAGAGAAAAGCAAGTGTTTACTGTTGTTAGTGATCTTAATTTGGGATTCGCATTGGATTACTCCAGTCTTGATAAAAGGGTTTCTTTTCTTGACATTGATCTGATCAATCGTTTGACAGTCAGCATAATTGAAAAACAGTGAGTATAGGAGCTAGGGGGAGGGGTTTTGATAGTTATCTTGCTTTTCCTAATTTTTCCTGCTCGTAAGAAATATTAATATTAATGGATAATGATTGTATAATTTAGTAATTAGAGCGTGAGCGTGACCTGGAATAGGATTGACGACGCACCGGCGAATATGTTGGTGTACCACGACGACGGGGCCGTGAGGAAAACGAGCGCGAACGTGATCTGTGAAAGGGTTTTAAATTAGAGAAAAACAAAAGGTTTTATTCAGATTCCAAACTTTTGAATACCGTCATAATTACCATTTTCACGGTAATAAAACGTATTTATAATACAGGTAATCTTTGTTTGACAGCTTAAAACTTACCTATCACGATAGTCACGACCACCACCTCCGCCGCCACCGCCACCACCACCGCGGTCATTATCTCCGCTGTCCTCCCGCACACGTATGTAGGCGACCTCACCCTTTAATTAATCCATGTGTAAGGTACCGTTCGCAAAGTATAAATCATCCTCTCGTATTGGTGGTACTCACCTCATGGGAACGGAATCGAGAGTCGTCCAATTTTTTAATGGCGTACTTCATATCCTCGTGACGCAAAAATTCCACAACTCCAGAACCATCTTTGTAGGTGTCGGCAAAGCAAACATCTCCGGCCTCACGCATGTGATCCTTCAGGTCCTGCCACGAGCCTGAACCTGGCAAGCCAGTTACCATGACACGGTACTGTGAGCGCTTAGCTGGGGGTCCTCGTCCACCCATGCGGCCGCCGCCATCCCGGCTACGATCGTTCCGATTGTTGCCGCGGTAGCTACCTGGGCCACCACCGCGAGGGAACTCGACCCGCAGACGATACCCGTCATAGTCATATCCATCACGCGCTTTGACAGCATCATCTGCATCGCTGTATGCAGTCGAAATGAAAGATTAATTTTATGTTAACCCCTCGTACATATGGATATATACAGATGAACATATATACGAGCTGTTTGTTTCGTTACTCACCGCGCATCTTCGAACTCTACAAATGCAAATGGCGGACCACGCCGATTCTTCAAATCGACAAATGTGACTTTGCCGAACTTGTGGAAAAGGTCCTGTATGTCCTTGGTGCGAATGTCTGGTGGCAAATTGCCAACATAAATGCGACACTCATTGCGGGAACCCATTTATTAACTTTTAGCGATTGAAATTGGAAATTAATGGCAATTTTTTCCCAGAACTTTTGCTGTCACGCAATTACGCACACAAGGAAATTACATATACACATAAATGCGATTGCGTTACAGGTCTGCATGTGACAGTTATCGACAAAAATAATGCTTTTATCGCAGGTTGGCAGTTCCCTTTATTTGTTGTTTAGTATTTTTTTGTTGGGCTTATTTAGTAGCATTAGTTCAGGTTATTGCGGCGTCTGCCTATACAAAACAACTTTTAGTTGCAATAAAAATGAAAATGTGCCCAATTCTAGCTAAATTAAAGAACAAAATCTAACAGAACGAGAACGCTACTGCAAGCGTAATATTAAAATGTGGATTCTTAGTTTTCGCGGGAGTGCATAAAGTTGTCTGTTGCAGCCAGCAGACAACAGCCTTGAATATTTGTGAGGGTTCGTGTGTGATTGTGTATTGTGTGTATATAAACAAAGTGCGAACGCGGGAATCGTCACATAAATATTTTACCAACTGCATAAGTTTGTACCCAGTGTGCATTAGAATCCACCCACAACAATGTCTAATGTGCGGTGCATCAATTTTTGGGATCTGTGCCGCATATGCACGGCCAGCAGTGAACAGAAAATTAACATATACTCGCCCGATGGACGCGCCAAAAATTTGAGCCAAAAAATCGCTGAATGTCTGCCAGTGCAAGTGAGTAACATTAAAAATATAACAACTATACCTTGGTCATAATTTACCACATATTCGCACAGATCGATGAGAAGGATCGGCTGCCCAAGGTGGTATGTGCCCAGTGCGCCCAGCAAGTGGACCAAATATACGAAATTCGCAATATTTCGAGAAACTCGCAAACTATACTCAACAATTGGCTTAACCATCGAACGCTGCAAAGCGATGACAAAGTGTTCATCAAAGATGCCATCAATGATACTGGAAAGAGCCTCAGCGTGCTCAGCACTGCGTCTAGTGGGCTTGTCTCAAGTAGCAGTAATCAGCAGTCGAACGACTTGCTCAGCAGCATCATGCAGGCCGTTGGCATGCAGGTTCAGCAACAACAGCCTCAACAGCAACAACAGTACACCATTACTGTTGACAGCCACGTTCCGGCGCAGTCACTTTCCCATCACCATCCTCAATCTCAGGCAGAAATGAAGTCCGAAAAGCAAAAGTAAGTTTCACATTCACGTTGTCGTGCAAACCAATTAATCAAATTGAATTTTAATATCAGTACTTTGGAGGAGTTTATACGCCTGAAGCCGGACATTAAGATTACGCCGTTGGGCAAAAAGGAGACCGTGCATGGCAGTACTGTATCCAA